ACCAAACCCGGAAAGTCTCAGCCCCTTAACCCATTACACCAGGACAGATATTCCATGGCCTCTTAAGGTCCCACTGCTTGTTCAGCTTGAAGAGGAGAAGGCTGTCCCCCCTCACTGCAGAGACACGATGGAGCTTAAAGTATCTCCACCAAGTTCCACTCTTATTTAGCTACGAGCATTATTCCAGCAAGAAAGACTGGGCCACGTGCAAATGCTAGTGTAGAGGAACTGAAGCAAGAGAGAGTTCCCATGACAGCAGCTTGAAGCTTTTGTCCTGTTAAAGCCAGGACAGCAAATTCCTATTCCTTCTCTTCTGTTCCCACCGTTAGTGCCGACACAGAGCTCCAGAAACACCACCACTGAAGCTGGCTCTGCCCCTCTTGGCTCGCACACTCTTGCTGGGAGCTGTGCTCCTTCCCTCATCATCGCCTGCCTTTTTGCTCCTGTGTTGGAGGCAATGGGGGTGCACCTGCTGGTGGTTCTGCAGTGTGCGCTCAAGCCACCCGCACTGCAACAGCCACTACTGCAGCGTAGCAATTGCCACCTCCAATGCCGAAGTGAGTGCTCGAGCAGGCAGCATTCCCTTCCCCACCTTACCCAGCTTTGGGAAACTTGGACTTCTTGGATTTCTTTTCCTTGTCATAAGAATCATCTTTCTTCTTCTTCTTCATTTTCTCACCTCCATCTTTCAACTTCCGCTTCTGCAGAGGGTTAAAGCCCAGTCACAATCCACGCAGTTCCCCCAATCCAAGCAGCTCCCCCAACCCTACCTGCACCCCCAGAGCCCCTTTGGGCCCTCTCCCAACAACACGAGAACAGCTCCTTCCCCACTGGACCCAGTCACCCCCCCCCCCCCCTGCCACACACCGGCTTCGACCTCTCGCAGCGCCCCCGGCTTTTACACTGGAGACGACCCCTCCAGCACGGGGAAGGGGTGCCAAGGGCTCCTGCGGGGTCCCCTCTCCACTGCCTCCCTTCGGCACTGTGAAGACAGGGCTGTCTCGAGCAGACAGGGCTGCCAGAGAGGAGGACTCATTGCCCAGCAGAGTCACACCCTTCATGCAGCAAACCCACCAAGCTCTGACACGGGAAATCGTCGAGAAAGCTGGCTTGCTGACCTTGGGACACTTCTTTTTTTTCTCTTTAACATAGTCATCTTCAGACTCAGACGCTTGTCGAAATTGCAGTGTCCCTGAGTTGATGTAAAACCCTCCATACTTCGTAGTAAGAGAAGCCGGAACAAGCTCATCGTACTGGAAATAACAGAGAAGGATCTATTGGCACCGTGAGCTTTGTCACTGGATCCCGTAGCTGAGCTGCCTGGAGAACGGAGGGGCACGGTGCTGCCCCAAGCACCGCCGGGGCTGTGGACACGCCTGCTGACCAGCATTCTCCTGCCGTGCGGCTGCCCCAGGACCTCCCTGCCCCAGCCCTGGCTGCTCCTGCCTCGCACCCACCTCGGGTTCTCCCCGGCTGCCAGCTCAGCTCCCCGGGCAGCTGCCTTGGACCCCCCTCACGCCTGCCCCCGTACTCACCGCTTCCGAGTTATCGATGAACGAGTCGGACTCGTCGTACCCGTACCCCATGTCAGCCAAGTCCTGGATACGGTCCTTTCGGCGTCTCTTGCCGCCCTAAACAAGAAACGCCTGACGGTGTATTCATCTTTCTTGTCCAAGTCCCATGGGGACAGCCCTGACAGACAACCCTGACACTGGCTCCAGTAGGGCAGAGGGAACGAGCTCTCTCTTGCTGCTGGCAGCAGCAGCACCAACCCAGCACCACCTCCCAGCAGACTGCAATCTCAGGATACGCTAAATCCAGTTTTAGGCCTTGTCACATGGAACCCAAACCAGTGCAGCCAAATGAAACAGAATGCTGCCCGGCCAGACCGGCTGACTTTGTGCCAGCAGACTTGACGCCGAAATGCCTCTGCATCCCTTCCAGACTGCAGAGGTGGCCTGTTCCTTCGTAACTGCCACACACTCGGTACAAACTCCGTCCTGCGCACCTCAAACATACCCACAGTGCATCGGGATGATCCAGAGCTCAAATTCACCTCACAAGGCAACAGAGCAACTCGCTGTCCAAAAGCGCCAGTTGTAAAACATAACGCAGTTTTATTGCCGTCCACAGAAGCAGAGTGAGAGGAAGAACAGAGAGGAAATGGGTAACAGAGAGCAGCATCTCTCGCGCTACCCAGCAGGCAGCAGGCTCACCAGATCACTGTGCATAGAGACATTAGAGATCACATTGTGCCACAGTGACAAGGCCACAAAATTAATTTTGGCTTAAGAAAATTAAATTTTATAAGTTACAGTAAGTCACTTGCCACTACAAGTGAGAATGTTATTCACTTCAATCAGACTCATCTGATTCAACAATGGACGTGAACTACTTTTGTGGACCACAGCCCTGAGACAGAAAAGGAACGTGGAAAACAGCACCTTCCAGCCCAGAGAAAGGACTGCAGGAGAACAGGATCAGAAGAGACAACGACCATGAAATACTACTGGCTGAGAGCTGAACAGCACGGCCCATTCTAAGAGATAACATAATAGAAAGAACAAAAACATACGTATTTTTCTTCAAACTTCCTAGCAAGAGCCTCCACTTTATGCCTTTCCTTTTCCTCATCATTAAAGGGATCCACAGGGTCTTTCTTCTGTAGAAATAAAAAGAGAGACAACCATCAGAATCAGCCCTGTCACGATGCCACCCAAACCCCAGGCATTAAACGACAAGCACATCCAGGCAGAAGCTCACAAATTAACCTTTACCACAGCATTTAGTACAGAGATGTTTAATAACTTCATCAGTGACACAGACAGGGGCATCGAGTGCACCCTCAGCAACTTCGCAGATGACACCAAGCCGAGTGATGCGGCCAACAGGCCTGAGGGATGGGATGCCGTCCCGAGGGACCTGGACAATCTGGACAAGTGGGCCTGGGTGAACCTCATGAGGTTCAACAAGGTCCTGCACCTGGGTCAGGGCAAGCCCCAGGATCAATACAGGCTGGGGGACGAAGGGATCGAGAGCAGCCCTGCTGAGGAGGGCATCAGGGTGCCGGTGGATGAAAAGCTGGACCTGAGCCAGCAGTGTGTGCTCGCAGCCCATAAAGCCAAACGCATCCCAGGCTGCATCAGGAGCAGCGCAGCCAACAGGTTGAGGGAGGGGATTCTGCCCCTCTGCTCTGCTCTGGTGAGACCTCACCTGCAGGGCTGTGTCCAGCTCTGGGACACCCAGCACAAGAAAGCCATGGACCTGCTCGAGCAGGTCCAGAGGAGGCCACAAAGATGCTCAGATGCTGGAGCACCTCCCCTGTGAGGACAGGCTGAGAGAGCTGGGGGTGTTCAGCCTGGAGAAGATAAGGCTCCAGCGAGACCTTACAGCAGCCTTGCAGTGCTTAAAGGGGCTACAGGAAAGGTGGGGAGGGACTCTTGATCAGGGGGTGTGGTGATGGGACAAGGCCGAACAGTCTTAAACTATTCCAGATCAGGTTGGACAGGGCTCTGAGCAACCTGATCAAGTTGAAGATGTCCCTGCTCACTGCATGGGGGCTGGACTCAATGAGCTTTAAAGGTCCTTCCAGCCCAAACCAGCCTATTATTATTATGAGCATCTCTAGGTTCTGGGTGCTCTCTCAGCTGGTTCTGTACCTGCCTCTGCTTCTCCCAACCCTCAATCCAACCCAAAAGCAGCAGGAACCATCAACTCGCTGCTAAACGGCTCTGAAGAGCACTGGTAAAAAGCAGCAGAATCCAACCAACTCGCTTGTCACAGACAAATACCCCTTCTACATGGTTCAGATGCTGCAGAAGCTTGCGTGCCCTCGGGGCCTGAGACATGGCTCTCCACAGGCCAACACAACTGTCAGACAACGCCTGAAAACACCATGTCCACCACACAGGGGGAGAAATTCATGTGCAGCTCAGCAGGGTCCCCAACACAGTGACAGACATAGAGCAGGGAAGCATCTCTCCCCTCGATGTCCCTTGCAAAAGAGCTCCTCGGAGCTGCTAGCAAGCCAGCTACCAAACCCACTGCACATCAAGCGACTCGAAACCAAACGAGCGTTACGTCCCACTCTGCCACCAACATACCACCCTTCTGACGTGACATTCCACGACAGGCCAAGCAATCCTCACAACAAGAGCCCCTGCCTCGATGCCAGTTCTCCGCCCTGCGGGATGACTGCCCACCCGCCCCCCACCTCCTGGCACCTCACAGCCAACTCACGACACACGTGCAAAACAGCCTGAACACGGCAACGCTGGAACAGCCTTTGCGGTCCTCAGGTACGACACAGGGTCCCCATGAGGACACTGACCTTGTCTCCCGAAGAACCACCTTTCACTTTCCCACGACAACTCTCCAGCAGATCTGGGTAGAAAAATTCTGGACAACGTTTGTGATCCGGCTCAAAGAGAGTCAGTGTGATTCGAACAGCTGTCGCAGGCGGTTCAGAGCCCTGGGGCTGCTCTCCATCTTCTTTCCGAGACCTCTTCAAAAAGCTGCCGCTCAGCGGGCCGTGGAGAGTGGTGAACGAAACCCTGTGGGGCTCCGTCATGGCTGCGGCCAAGTCTTACCAGTCCTCATGGCATCGTCCCCATGGCATCAGAAATAGTCCGCCCCGGCTGCACAGGCACGGATGTCACCAGCCGGGTACGGGCAGCGGAGCAACGCGGCAGCAGCACCAGGGGCTTGATTCCAAAGTTTGGCTGGGAACTGACAAAGGCCCGTGCTGCCAGCGCTTGCTGCGAGCGAGAGAGAAGGAAAGGCGTCAGGGCTGGCACCACCCTTCCCTCCCGCGCTGGCAGCCCCCCGCGTCGCCACTCCTCTCCACCCCCAGGGTTCACCCCCCCCCGCTCCCCTGCTCAAGGCTGCGGGAAGCACGGCTGGCGAGGGAACCCAAGGGCCCCGCCGCACTTGCCGGGACACGGCCCAGCAGCCTCGGGCACAAACGCCGGCCTGGGTTGCACCGCCCCGGGCCAGAGGCTCCGCTCCGGCCGGCAGCTCTCCCGCTGCACGGAGGGAGGCCCGGACCCCCGCGGCCCGGGGAAAGTGACCCAGTCCCTGGCACACGTAGGGGGCTG